CGAGGGGGGGGGGGGGGAGAAGTACGAGAGGGAGGAGAATGATGAGGACGAAGAGGACGATCGGGAGGAGGAGGACAAGGGTGTCGGGGTTACCGAGGTTTATTTTTTTTTTGTGGAATTCCACAAGCTCGGTAGACTGACTTGCCTGCGTCTGTGACTCTGTGTGCATGTGCAGGTGCCTTATCAGCAACCGACGCGTCAGCATGTGGGACATCAGGGGCCTGCACATCAGCAACTGCAGCGTCAGCAGGCAACACGTCATCAAGTGCAACATCCGCAACCGTCGTGTCAGCAGGAACCACCTTGGTAGTTGCCACATCCTCGTCATGGCAACTGACAGTTCAGCGGGAGACGGAGGTCTCGAACCGTCGAATGCGGAGAGGGAGCCGTTCATTGAGGATTCCACGTTCCGGGGCAATTTTTGTGTGTGGACGTGGGTGGCGCCGGGTCAGAAGTTGAAGGACAGAACCCAAGGGGGGCGCGCCTCAGATGCAGGTTGTGTGGCCGTGAGTTTGTGTGGGGGCAACTGAGCGCAGTCGACCACTTCATTTGGAAGAGAAAGAATGCGCGTTGCCCTCACGGGACACTGTCAGTCTGAAGGAGGCTGCATTCTGTGAGGGCTAAATTGCCTCCTGACTTGTTGGATTTGGTGCAGCGAGCGGAGCAAGAAGACAACAGTGGTGATGGTGGTTTGGAGGGAGGAGAGGCCGCGGTAGACAACGACGACGAGGGGGGGACAAAAGTGGGGAGGGCTGGACAGTCACATGCACAGTCAGGGAGTGTGGTGGAGGATATTGGGGGAAGGGGTGCCGTTGTGCGAGGCGCATGTGGCGGGGGAGCAGCCCTTCTCATGCCAATGCACTGCAAGCACACCCTGACAGAAGGGGACACACGAAGCAGACTTTTATCGCTAGGTGGGCAAAAAAACCGTGACAGAAGGAGATTGATGAGACCTGCATCGAGTTTTTTGTTGAGAACGTGATCCCCTTCAACACCGCGAAGAGCAAGTCTTACAACAAGTTTGTGAATGCGTGTTTCGGGCCACAGCCTGTTGGCAAGCATCCGCTGGTCCCCACTGGTTACAACCCTCTGAGGTGTGTTCTTCTAGATGGCTTGCAGCGGAGGTTGAACGATGATAAGCGTGCCATCAGAGATGATTGGGAGGTCATGGGCTGCACGTTCATCACAGATGGCACGACAAACATCTGTGGCTGGTCGTTGGTCAATTACATCCTCGCAGGGCGGTCAAAGCCATTATTTATCAAGCGCAAGGATGTCAGCGGCCAGGAAAAGGACGCTGCTTCAGTTGTTCGGGGATGAAAGAATTTCTTCAGGGAGATCGGGGTCGATAAGATCACCGCCATCTGCACGGACTCGTTCTTTGGCAACAATAGTGCAGCCACCATGTTGAGGGAGGATCCAGAATTCCAGCAGATTTACTGGATCCCGTGCACTGGGCATTGCATGGACCTCTTCATGCAGGATGTGGGCAGCAAGTCGTGGGCCACAGACGTCATAAAGAACGCGAATAAGGTGGTGAATTTCTTTAGGAACCACAGGTGGCCACGATATGCACTGAGGACGGAGTTGACCGCACAGGTGGCCACGATCTGCACCGAGGACGGAGTTCACCGCATAGAAGGGCGTCAAGGTCAGAGTTCTCCTTCGTCCTGCCCTTACAAGGTTCGGGATCCACTTCGTGATGCTGGATCGACTCATCACGTGCGAGAGAGCCCCTCGTCGCCTACCGCTTGGGGACTCGTGGACGAACATGGATTGGCAGCCATACATTTAGAGGGACGCTTGTGAGGTTGAGTCCGTCATTACAGACTGCGCATTCAGGGATGACGTGAAGAAGTTGCATTCCGTGTTGCAGGGACCGTACAATGTGCTGAGGATGGTGGACAAGGACATTCACTGCTTGTCGTGGGTGTACGATGCCACTGTGGACCTCAAGAACTGCGTTGCGGAGGCCACACTTACAGATGCTGAGCGGGCCAGTATCTTGTACGATGTGGGAAAGAGGACGAACATGCTTCTGAGCCCGGTTCACGTTGTGGCCCGACTATTGGACCCTCGATTGAGGGATATCACGGTCTTCAGCAACGCGCAATTGATGGCGCAGTTCGACAGCGTGGTGGACCGCCTTGTGGGAAAGAAGGGGAGTCGGGAGTTCGACGACTGCAAAGACCAGTTGTACGACTTTCAGTTCGGCAGAGGGATCTTCGGTGACCCGTCAGTGTTCAGGAGAGCAGACAAGGACAATGCAATGCTGTGGTGGGGGGCACATGGAAGTGGTCATCCGAAGATCACTAAGTTGGCGATGAAGGTGCTTTCGATCTGGACCACATCCTCTCTTGCAGAGAGGAACTAGAGCATGTGGTCCCTTGTGTAGACGAAGACGAGGAACTAGTTGAAGCACAATCATACAGAGAAGCTTGTGTACTCGCACTGGAACCTCTGACTGAAGAGCAGGGGGAGGACGCGCCGACAGTAAGAGGAGGGTGGTTGGACCTGGAGCGTGACTGGGTGGACGAGAATCTGGAAGGTGAGGCAATTGGTATGCTTGACGCGACAGACCATGATGCAGTCACGCATCAAGTTAGCAGATCTGAGAGGGGCAGCACCAATATCGTTGCTGCTCGTCGTGCATCGGAGAAGAGGACACAGAGACAGGATGTCATTGACGAGGTAGACGAGGAGGGCGACGAGGAAGAGGAGGAGGAGGAGGACGAGGAGGAAGAGGACGGGGGAGATGAGTTCCCTCGTGAGGAGTGGAATGATGACCGTTCTGACTCAGACAGGTCATGGACACGACGGGAGGACATTACTCCCTATGTCCGCGGCACACGTTGTAGCGATCGAATAGCATCGTTGAATGCTCAGGGGCAGCGTCGACAAAAGCAGCATGAGTAGCATCAGGAAGAGGAGCAGCAGGAAGAACAGCTGCAGGAAGAGGAGCAGCAGCAGGAGGAGCAACCCGATGACGAGCAGGACGAGGAGGAACGGGAGGAGGAGCAGCATTCGCGGCAAGCGGAGCAGCAGCAGAAGGAGGAGGAGCAGCAGCAGCAACAACAACAGGAGGAGGAGGAGGAGCAGCAAGAGGATGCACAACAAGAGGAGCAACAGCAGGAGGAGGAGCAGCATGAGGAGCAGCATGAGGAGCAGCAGGAAGAGGAGCGACAACGCGAGGACCAGCAAGACCAACAGGGGCCGCGACAGGAGCCGCGTGCATTCTACGGTCCAAGAAGACGACCACAACTGCTTGGTCGCCTGGGGGCGAATGTTGGTGGCATGTGGGATCCTCTGAGTTATCGACCTCCACGTGGGGGTAGAGGAGGTCGACGATGTGCACCATCTACCCGAGGGAGACCCAGAGGGCGTCCTCCTTCAAGTTCCTCGAGAGGAAGTAGACGTCCTTCTTCAAAATCCTCCGAAGGAAGGGGGCGACCACGTTCTGCCCCTTAACAGGCAAAGGAGAGGGCTGACGAGGAGGTCGGGGAGCAGCAGGAGGGCGAGGAATGAAACGATGATCAACCACTACACAAAACAAAAAAACGTAGGACGATGCCGGGTGAAGGGGAAGGGAAGAGAGAGAGAGAGAGAGAGAGAGAGAGAGAGAGAGAGAGAGAGAGAGAGAGATTTGTTGTTTCTCCATCAGACTCGCCGCGCTGCCATGTCACTATGTGTGTGTGTCTACGACGAATGTGTGTGTGTGAGTTGTGATGGTCGTTCCTTGCAGCACCAGAAAAAGCGGACAAAAAAAAAACAAAACGATTACGAGGCTGTGCAGACACAACTGTGTGTTGTTGCCTTGCCTGTCAGTCTGTCTGTCTTTGCCTGTGTCACTGTGTGCATGTCTGTCGGAATCTGTCTTTCCCGTCTGTATGTCTGTCTTTGCCTGTATGCATGTCTGACGTAATCTGTCTTTCCCGTCTGTCTGTCAGTCTTTTTGTCCGTCTCTCCGTCTGTCAGTTGCCCTGCCTGTCTGTCTGTCTGTCTTTGTCTGTGTGCATGTCTATCAGAATTCGTCTTTCTCGTTTGTCTGTTGATCTTTCTGTCCGTCTCTCCGTCTGCCAGTTGCCCTGCCTGCCTATCTGTCTGTCTTTGCCTGTGTGCATGTCTGTCTTTGCCTGTATGCATCTCCGTCTTTCCCATCTATCTGTCAGCCTTTCTGTTCGTCTCTCCGTCAGACTCTGTTTGTTGCCCTGCCCGTCTGTATGTCTGCCTCACTCTGTCACTCTGCCACGTTCTGTGTTTGTCTGTCTGTCACACTATCACCATACTATTTGTCTGACTGTCAAACTGTCACCCTCCCTGTTTCTCTTTCTGTCACTCTGCCACCCTGTGTGCTCGTCTGTATGTCACTCACAATAACTGTCTGTGTGAGTGGTCATCATGTCGGTTTGTGTGTGTGACTGTCTGTCTGTCTATCTGTCTGTGCGACTGTCCGTCTGTCGATCTGTCACCTTGCCACCCTGTCACGCCAGTCTTTCAATCTGTCACCTTGCCACAATGTCTGTTGATCAGTCACCTTGCCACCGTGTCACACACAGACGAGGACACAGGGTGGCAGAGTGACAGAAAGAGAAACAGCGAGGGTGACAGTTTGACAGACAGACAAATAGTACTGTCACCCTCCCTATTTCTTTTTCCGTCACTTTGCCACCCTGTGTGCTCGTCTGCGTATAACTCACTTCAATTGTCTGCGTGAGTGGTCATCGTGTCGGTTTATCTGTGTGACTGTCTGTCTATCGATCTATCACCTTGCCACCCTGTCACGCTAGTCTGTCTGCAAATCTGTCGATCTGTCACCATGTGTGTGTGCATTTGTGTGTGAAACTGTGCGTGTGCGTGCAAGGGTGTACGATTCTCGGGGCGCCCACAGGCCCAAAGACGCCCAATACGTACCGTATACCACGCAGACAATGGTATACGGTATTCGAATAAGCTGTAAACTAGTTATAATAGTTATATATATATATTAATATTACTAAATAATATATAAATATTATTTACAATATATATATATATATATACATATATATATATATATATATATATATATATATATATATATACGGGTCTTTTTCGGGCGCGTACCCGTATACGAGCATACGTACGTGTACGCACCACGTACTCGTACGCGGTGCTACCCATATCAGAATTAACGATGAAAATAAAAATGGGCAACAAAATTAAAACTGATAAAAAGGGAAAGGAATAAATGATTAAATTATTACTAAACAAATTTTGTCAAATTCTGCACTTGATGAATTTTAGCCAAAATTATCTATTTATCCCTCTTCATCGATTTAAGCAGATTTTCTCTGCTCATAATCGCTCGCTGGATTTTACATGATTTTTCTGATTATAACCCTTGATCCAATCTGGGTGTTATTGAGTGAGTTGGGCCGTATCTTGCTGGATCCCCATGGACATTGGTTATACCGGCGGTCAGATCAGCGGTACTATTTTTCTGGTTACGACGGGCAAGCCTAAGTGGTATGGTCAATGGCTCGGCCTTGGTGCAGCATACCACTATGCTGTGCAATTGTTTTGGGTGGATATTGTCCTGGGGCTCTTGAGCTGCCTGGTACGGCATCAGACCTGGGACCGCTATGACTCACTTCGGTTTGATGGTATCAATTTGGCATGGTCTGTCGAAAGGTCGGCGCTGGTACGGGGCACGGACACGGGTTCGGCTTTTGTACTGTCGGGGATCTTCACAACCCGACACTATTATTCTAACACGAAATTAGCCGCGGCAGCCGGTTTGAGGTGCTGCAGTTACTGGTTCGGTATTCGAACGGCATCGCGACACTACTATTTTGCTGCGGTCACCGGTTTGGCAGAAGGTACGGTGTGGGAACCGTTTGACGTGGTTATTCTTGATATGGTAGTGCAGTCTAGCTCGGGACTGCTGGAGCTCGCTAAATTGGCACTGATACAGGCACGAGAGTTGTATTGTTTGGCACGACATTAGTCCGCAGTTTGGTACTATTGTTTTGTTACGGTCACTGGTTTGGTGTTGGTACGGCATGCTAGCTCAACACCGGTACGACTCACTGCAATGCAGTATTATAAGCCTTGACGCGACAACCTGCCCCTACTATTCTCGGTATGACCACGGCTCTGGCGCATGTACAACTCAGTTTTGCAGTAGTCGTGCGGGATGGTACAGGCTTTGGTCTGGTCTGGAACTGCTGCGATTCGCCCCTGACGACGGACGCTATTTAAGGGGGCATACTTCAGTTGTACACATGTTTGGAACGGCCGTTGGTTCGGAAGTCCGGGTGTTAAACTATGGTACCGATTGTGCAATGCTGGTACGTGGGCCTAGTATTGCAGGCAGGGGCCGCTCAGTCTTCGGTTACGAAAGGGGTACAGGGAATAGAAATTCTCCCCTGGTCTGAGGCCGCAACCTTGGGGGATATAGGGAGGACCAGTGAGAGAGGTAGGGACCAGTGGAAACGGAACAGCAAGCCCGACGTCCGCGGTGTGGGAACACTTCGCTCAGTCTAGCCCGATATCCATAGTTGCTACAGAGAAGGCAAAGGACACAAGACTCCGCTCCGAGCTGAGTGTTCGCAGCGGCTTCCGCCTTGAGATTCAACACAAGGGTGAGCCTAGCTCGGAAGGTCACGAGCGTGGAGTTCGGCCGCTGCGGGGGCAATGAGACAGAACACGATTCTCTGCACTAGCGCTTGTCAGAGGAAGGGCAACCACCAAAAGGTACAGTATATGCGGTAACACCTGCTTCCTTTCTTAGAGTGGTCTGGAAGGTCTACCCCATATCGTCGTCCACAGCTCGATCCATGAGGAGTGAGTGAGAAATGGGGGAAGGGCGGAAAGAGAGAGGGGTGAGTGGTAGAAAGTAAGAAGGGGGAAAACAATGCGCTTAACGGTGAAGACGCCCAAGTGCATTCCACACTTAAAGACGAGCCTATTAAATTCAGTCGATCTAGTTGGAAAGCGAATCTGTTAATTGAACCGTTTGAACGTAGGAGCATCCGATCGGCTAATTGATGCGTTTGCTCGCTGGAAATCGAACCAGTTAGTCGGAACGCTTGATCGTTGTGAAGCGAGCGGGTGATCTCCTCGCTTGTTAGCTAGAAACCAAACTTGTTAAACGGTTCACGAGAGCGTAGTGTAGCAAATAGCAGATTTGCGTGCTTGCCTGTCAGAAATTGAACCTGTCAATCAGTTTACTTGACCGTTGTTGAGTACATCGGTCCCGCACTGGGACCCTCCCGACCTCGTCACTCAGGATTTTGCAGGATTTGTCACGTAGAGCGTTCGCCGCTCCGGCCGAGTGCGCCAACCGTACCTCTCACGGACCCTTACAACAAGACATGGTCATGCGAGGCATGTCTTACCTCCACCCGCGGGAGATGTCACCATCCCTTGAGTGGGCGTATCCCTGCCGAGCTACCAAACCACATGTGACGGCATTTCGTATGCAATTGCAAAGGTGGCTTGACCGAGGGCGTTTCTCATTTGCTGTAGCATAGGGGGTACGCGCAGTCAACGCCGAATCGAACCCATATGTGAATTGTCGCCCGAGGCGCTGATCTCTCGGACGCGGCCCCACACCGGTCGACTAGGACGACCATTCTAACCGCGCGATACTCTTTGAGAAAACAAATCATCAGGTTTCACTCTTAGATCGTGCCTAGTTCCTATCTACACTTAACCCATAACTTTTCTTGGACCAAAACGCGTCAGAACCAAACGCAGAATTCTGCATAACTAGGACGTTACTTTACGAGTTTCCTTCATAATGACCAACCATGCATGATTACATGAGCAGTCGCATTGATAAAGTATATAGTGCCCTTAAAGGTGTGGTCCCATCTGAGACATGGGATCGCTCTTGATGCTCAGGCGTTGGTTGAAGCGCACGCTAAGAAGTGTAAACCTTAAGTGAGCGCAAAGGCGGTCTGAGAGCCTCGCCATCTTCTGCACCCTGCGGTGCCCTAAAAGGTGGCACTACGGGGTAAGATGGTGTCTAGGGCGAGAAGGAATTTGGAGCAGTGGTGAGTTGTTTGGCGCACCACCAGCGACCTGCTAACCCTTCCGCCCGGAACCTTATCGTTCCACCAAAATAAATTTAAAACAAGGAACGCGAAGTAATAAATAAAAAAAAAAAGTCGTTAAAACGTTACAAGATTAAGCATGGTTTGTAGGTCTGGCCTACCCAAAAATGCGAGTGTCTGTCAGCTAGGACAGTCGCATCCAAGGGAAAGGCCTAGCGGAGTACCGTCTTTTCTTTGAAGCGTCTGTCCCATAACTTATTCCGCGCTACACTTCGAGTGTGATATACACTCACAAATGGTTAAGACAGACGCTCAAGCGAAGGAAAGGCCAAATACTCAGTTATGCGAGTCCTTGCGAGTATCTGTCATGGCGACGCATCATGCGTTACATACAATCGCTCGATTCTCTATGGGAATCAGTGATGCGAAAAACACTCGAGTGTCGAAGATGAGACATTGTGAGAGAAGTTCCCTTCACGATATTGAACGGCTGAAGGATAGGCCACTCGGCCCTCGCGGCGCTTCTAAC